ATGTGTGTACATGTACGTGTATGTGTGTGCATGTGTGTATGTGTGTGTGTGCACGTATCTGAGTGGCTGAGTGTGTGTCATATGTAGGTGTGTGTGCGTGTGTGTGTCTGGGTGTGCAAGTGAGTAGATGTGTGTGTCTCTGGATGTGTGTGCGTCTGTAGATGTGAGTGTGCATCTGCAGCCCAGGAGAGAGCTGGCGTCCCGGTGGCGGAGAGCTCTGTCTGGGGAAAAGTCTGGAGGGAGAAGAAGAGCTGCCCCGACCTGACCCATGCTGACCTCTGACCTTAAGCGCCAGGCTGATGAACGCGGAGTCTGCAAAGAAGACTAAGAGGCGCCTCGCAGGCTCATCAGAGGAGCGTTGTGACTCTTGACCTCGGGGTCGTGAGCTCGAGCCCCACACCGGACAAAGAGATTGCTTAAAAATAAAGTCTTACAAAAAAGAGGGAGGCCACGGGAGGGAGCGTTCTGCTCAGACCCGGCTGGCTTCCGGCCCGCGTACCGTCCAGCCAGGAGGACCCACGAGAGCGGAGAGGGGGATTCGATAACTGACGGCACGAGAGTCTCGAGGGGCTCTGAGGAGACAGGAGCGAGCCCAGGAGAAAGCGGGAGGACAGCCACGTCCACCGCGAAGACCACAGATTTCGCGTGGACCCCGGGGCCACCTGCCCCCAGGCACCCCTCATCTCGTCCCTTTTGCTAAAAGGAGAGCCCAGTCCCGGGCAGCAACCCTACCATCCAGAAGAGCCTGGGCCCTCCCCAGACTCCAGAACCAGATTAGTCCCTACCACCCAAGCCCCCTCGCCTGCCCCCAGCTGCTGACGGGGACTTGGCAGACAGACACAGGCAGCGCGTTTCCAGAGGGGAAGAGCACAGGGAAGGAAACGGCCTCTCGATCCTTCTGCTCCACGTGTCTCAGCGCGGCTCCCAGGCTGGAGGCGAACGTCCGGAGTCTGTGAGGAAACGAAGCCGAGGCCAACACTCAACGTGCAGAGGGAGGCTGGGCACAGCGGTGCCCAGAACCAGCCCGCCAGTGACACCACTGGGCCTCTGAGCCGCCAGCTTCGGCCGGCCCGTCACACGGGAGGCCTCCAGGCTAAGTCACATGGGCCCATAAGTGCTCCTCGGGTTTAAGCCACTTCTCTGCAGGTTCACTGCTCTTTACAGCTAGAAGCATCCAACAGAGCACTAACGACGCTTTTTAACTCATTCATTAACGTGCGCACCCGAACGCCCTTCGTGAGCATAGTCCGAGTTCCTCCCCGCACCTAGAGGTGCCAACGCTTTAAAGCTCCACTGTTTTGGGGCGCCTGGGTGGCTCAGTCGGTTAAGCGTCCGACTTCGGCTCAGGTCACGATCTCACGGTTCGTGAGTTCAGGCCCCGCGTTCGGGCTCTGTGCTGATGCCTCAGAGCCTGGAGCCTGTTTCAGATTCTGTGTCTCCCTCTCTCTCTGACCCTCCCCCGTTCATGCTCTGTCTCTCTCTGTCTCAAAAATAAATAAGCGTTAAAAAAAAATTTTTTAAAAAAAAAGCACCACTGTTTTTTCTAACTAAACAATCCGCAGATTCCACAGACAGACTGGCCTCCTCCTCGTGACTCCAAATTGTTTTGGTTTCACCTTCTTTTTTTTTTTTTTTTTTTATTTATTTATATATGAAATTTATTGTCAAATTGGTTTCCATACAACACCCAGTGCTCATCCCAAAAGGTGCCCTCCTCAATACCCATCACCCACCCTCTCCTCCCTCCCACCCCCCATCAACCCTCAGTTTGCTCTCAGTTCTCAACAGTCTCTTATGCTTTGGCTCTCTCCCACTCTAACCTCTTTTTTTTTTTTCCTTCCCCTCCCCCATGGGTTCCTGTTAAGTTTCTCAGGATCCACATAAGAGTGAAACCATATGGTATCTGTCTTTCTCTGTATGGCTTATTTCACTTAGCATCACACTCTCCAGTTCCATCCACGTTGCTACAAAAGGCCATATTTCATTTTTTCTCATTGCCACGTAGTATTCCATAGTGTATATAAACCACAATTTCTTTATCCATTCATCAGTTGATGGACATTTAGGCTCTTTCCATAATTTGGCTATTGTTGAGAGTGCTGCTATGAACATTGGGGTACAAGTGCCCCTATGCATCAGAACTCCTGTGTCCCTTGGATAAATTCCTAGCAGTGCTATTGCCGGGTCATAGGGTAGGTCTATTTTTAATTTTCTGAGGAACCTCCACACTGCTTTCCAGAGCGGCTGCACCAATTTGCATTCCCACCAACAGTGCAAGAGGGTTCCCGTTTCTCCACATCCTCGCCAGCATCTATAGTCTCCTGATTTGTTCATTTTGGCCACTCTGACTGGCGTGAGGTGATACCTGAGTGTGGTTTTGATTTGTATTTCCCTGATAAGGAGCAACGCTGAACATCTTTTCATGTGCCTGTTGGCCATCCGGATGTCTTCTTTAGAGAAGTGTCTATTCATGTTTTCTGCCCATATCTTCACTGGGTTATTTGCTTTTCGGGTGTGGAGTTTGGTGAGCTCTTTATAGATTTTGGATACTAGCCCTTTGTCCGATATGTCATTTGCAAATATCTTTTCCCATTCCGTTGGTTGCCTTTTAGTTTTGTTGGTTGTTTCCTTTGCTGTGCAGAAGCTTTTTATCTTCATAAGGTCCCAGTAATTCACTTTTGCTTTTAATTCCCTTGCCTTTGGGGATGTGTCGAGTAAGAGATTGCTACGGCTGAGGTCAGAGAGGTCTTTTCCTGCTTTCTCCTCTAAGGTTTTGATGGTTTCCTGTCTCACATTCAGGTCCTTTATCCATTTTGAGTTTATTTTTGTGAATGGTGTGAGAAAGTGGTCTAGTTTCAACCTTCTGCATGTTGCTGTCCAGTTCTCCCAGCACCATTTGTTAAAGAGACTGTCTTTTTTCCATTGGATGTTTTTTCCTGCTTTGTCAAAGATGAGTTGGCCATACGTTTGTGGGTCTAGTTCTGGGGTTTCTATTCTATTCCATTGGTCTATGTGTCTGCTTTTGTGCCATGGTTTCACCTTCTTTAGTGTCTCATTCTTAGCACTTTCTGGGGAGTGGAATGAATTAAAGTTCGGCGGCCTTGCTCTGTTTGCACGGGAATCTGAGCAAGGACACACTCCTCTTGTACTGAGCCTTGGGGACTCTGAAGGAACTGCATTTCAGCAGCCATGGGACCCGGCCCCAGGTCTCTGTGATCTCAGGAGGCCTGCCCTTCCGAGCACCGACCGGACGTGCCTGGCACCTGCCGGGGTCTCTGCACTAGAGGAGAGTTGGTCAGAAACGCTGACTTATCCCCCCTTCGACCCCGCAAACAATCATAGCTCAGAGGCTTGGGCTAAACAGAGCCTGCAACTCTAGGCACTTTTCCGCCTTTTTTAAGTGTTTATAAAAAGAAACGTAACCATAAATCTGGCAGAAGACATCGCTTTCGTGAAACACGTGTACCTTTAATCAGAGCGGCAACATCGTTAAATCATCAGTGTCTTAGTATCTGGAGGCCATTTTTGCGCAGATTGTAAGAACCAAAAACTGCAGCGAGGACCCCGCCCAGGGGACCTGCCAAACCACTTCCTGCTTCCCCGCTCCACAAGACCACCTTCCTCCCTCCCCAGGGCAGGAAAACGTCCTCGGGTACCGCACGTTGGCAGGGCCTGTGCCGTGTCTCCTGGGGACCCTAGAAGGAAAGCCATTCCTGGGGAAGGAGATTGGAGTTAACTAAAAGCTTACACAGGATCTTAAGTTTAGGGCCTCTCTGAAGCACCGGACGTGGGTCCCCCGGGGTGGGATGGGAAGGGCGGTGCTTCCCACACCTACTGACCACAGGGACCTTGTTTCCAAAGACGCAGAGCTCAGCTGGGGACCTGGTCTGCCTAGTGAAGCCGCTTCGCTCCAACCTGCGGTGCCCCTCACCCACTGTGCCATCGCTTGGGATTTTCTCGTGTCTCTTCAATGGGACTTATAAGCACCTGCTGGGTGTGAGGAAATGGGCGGTGAGAAGGCCCCCCCCTCAAGCAGCCCCTCCAGGCCCTCCCCTCTGGCCCCACCCGTCCACACACCACACACGCACTACTGACGTGGCCCCCACTCCCCCGTCTTTATGCCCATCGATGCCGCCAGAGCTGGGAGTCCCCGTCCCCTTGTCCCTCAAAGGCACAGAAGTTGCTTTAACATCATCTCCGGACAGCTAGGGAGCCCCGGTCCACGGAGGCATCGGCCCTCCCTGGTGTGGAGAGGCAAGTTAGACAGAAAGCAACACATATGGGGGCGCCTGGCTGGCTCAGTCGGCCGAGCATCTGACTCTTGGTGTCAGCTCAGGTCAGGATCTCACAGCCCTGGGACTGAGACCCACCTCGGGCTCCGCACTAGGCGTGGAGCCTGCCTGAGATTCTCTCTCTGCCCCTCCCCTGGTTACACGCGTGTGCTCTCTCTCTCT